TTAGAAAATTATTTTTTAAAAATATAATTTTTAAAAAATATAATTTTCTAATATTATTAGACAAATAAATAAATTATATTAAATTAGTTTAGAAACTTTATATATTTTAATTGCAAATATTTTACCAATTGCTTCTTTAAAAACATTAGGGAACTTGCTATACTCTACCAATCAAGCCCAGTGACACTCCATTTATTTTTCATCACTCGAACACTGAAAAGTAAAAAAATATATGAAATCAGATCCATTAAATTCTAAGATTTGATTTACATTTTTAATTAAAGTTGTTTTTGATCATACGTATAGATAATTATATAAAAATTCCAAAATTCTAAAATTTCAAATACATACAAAACAATCATATGTAAATTTTAAATTTGTGAATATTAAAATTTTATATTTTAATTACATATATTTACCCTGCGCAAGGCGCAGGTCTTATCCTAGTAATGTACTATTGTATAATAACCCATAAATTGTTGCTTTCATTACAAAATCATAAATTACTTCATTTTTGACTAAGATTCAATTTTTTTCTTCTCGCTTGTATTATTATTAGATAACAAAGCTAAGATAAAAGAATACATAATGTTTATGTGTGTAATGTGAATGTCAATTAATCGTTGGAACCTTAAGAAATCAATGAAACTTGATTGAATAGACCATCAATTTAAAGTGGTAATTTCATTGAGAAATCTAATGAAAATGTTTATACATGTTTGTTTCTCAAATATTTCTTATTAGGTTTTTGCAAATAACACATGGTAATCTATAGAGATAAATTTTAACTAAAAGTGATACAAAGGACCCTAAAGCTCTCAGAAATCATTGGTTCAATCCATCCCCTTAATTGAAATAATACAAACACACAAATTATCTTTGAATCATAAGAAAATACGGTGAGTGGCGTCCTTTTTTAAAGTCAGTGGACAACAAAACGCATACAAGACTTGTGCGGTTCTATTTTAAATGACTAAACACATTTTTCAATAATTAATATATTTCAGTTTAATATCGACAATGTATCAAATATGCTTCAAATTTCTTACTGAGAAAAACAATTTGGCATACAGTCATCTACCATCATGTATGACAAATGAATTATAGATGTTATTATCATATGACGTTTATGAAATATATATGATATGTAGTGTTTCCAATAGTTTATTTCCTTGTCGTTATTCTTTGATTTATTATATCTATACATCATAAGCATCTATTATAAAACTAAAAACACGCTATATGATTCAATGTTTTACCAAAGGGCCAACAGATTGTATATCCGCATGAAACATGGAGGTGTTAATTAACAACTCAATGAGTAGAATCTTAATTTCTTCAAAAAAGCAATGACTAGAATCTTTTTTTTTGAAACAAGACTAAAATCTTATAATATACTTATAATACATGAAATTGAATAAATAGTATCATTTAGCAAGAGTTAAGATGTTAATCACAGAACATAGCTGATTAACACATTCGGTTATGTTCCATATACAGTTTATTTCAAAATATAATTAGTTTTCTCTGGATGTGTTGTAATGTGAGGGGATATTGCTAACAATCATAAACTCAAAAGAGAAGTAAATATGTGGTTAGTTAAATATGTAATAAGAGAAAATAAAAGTACTCATCGAATTTTAAAATGTTTGATATAATGTTTTGTCATACCAGAACATTCCTTGTTGTTAAAAGAAATATTACTATTTCTGCATTTAGGAAATTTCACTAAATAGATTAAAATGTTATAATTTGCAAATTTACACTGGTGAACAACAAAACCCGGTAACTAACTATTCTGCATAGAAGGAACTTTTTTCTTAATTGATGTGATCACATCATTGTTTAAGAACAAATTCTGCCCGCGTCCTACGCGGACTAGCCACCTAGTATTACGTAATTTACGTTTAGGGAACATATGGTTACTCCAAACTATATTGTCCTATCATATCAGAAGAGTTTTTTAGTATATAAAGAAAATAATTAGTGAGCATATAATTTTCTATAATCAAAGGACATCAGTTTAAAATGGAATTTCCTTTTCAGGTGACGCATATTGAAATCGTAAGTACTGACTTAGCTATGTTTAATATACCTAATTAAACTGGAACAACAACCAAACGCAAGCACTAATAAACTAAAGGTTGTGTTATTACTCATTACTCATTTTGACCTAAAATTTATGCATTAATTTCCACTTTATTACTCCCTCTGTTTCATTATAAGTGTCACTCTACAGCTGTGCACACGGATTAAGAAAACAATTAATTTTACATATTTCCTATATAAAAACACAGTTACCCATACACCTAACCATATTTTAACCAATAGAAAAACAAATTACATAATAAAATTAATAAATTTTGCATTGAAAACCGAAAACGACACTTATTTTGTAACGCAAAAAATTTTCTACAACGACATATGAAACAGAGGGAGTAATAAAGTTGTAAACAAATACAGATGGATTGGGTTATAATGTCCATGATCTTGTCTCCGCTTATTGCTCACTTTAAAAACTATACCGATGGAATCTAATTAATGATATCATCCATCTTCTTATATATTATACTTATGATATAAAATTGATATTCAAAATTAGAAATTAACACGCCCATAATGCATGCCTAGTATATTGATTAAATTTTATGCATGTAAGAAAATTTAAGATAAGATTATACAATAATTACTTTACAATAATGTCTTATTTTATATGATCATTAGTTAGAGCTTTTATGTAAAATTATGCTTTTAAGTTACACATGTGATTTTTATAAAGAATTATTTGAATATTTATTTATCAGTTATTTATATTTAACATAGTAATTTAATAGTTCTTATCAAATTATTTGGGTAATCTAATTCATTTTCAAAATTTTAATTAGCTATATAGTGTTTCAATGTGATTTATAAAACATAATTTTATATACATTATTATAAATTTAACCGATAATATTAATATAAATTTATAATTATGTAAAATACTAACTTTTATATTTTAATATTTTATTTTTATTTGGGGATTAAGCATATCTTATCTAATCCACCAGTAATAATAATAAGAACAAAGTGCTGCAATGCACTTGATCCGAATGAGAATCATATAAATATATGCGTGTGAGAACATACACACACATATACATATATATTTTCATCATAACTCTAGTTTAGAAAAAGTTCAGTCAAAGAAAAAAAAAACTCTAGTTTAAAATAACATTTTTTGCCAAATAATTTAGAATAACATAACCCTAGCTGTTCAACGAATCACTTAATTGTTTTCCTACGGTCATGTTTGACAAATCTATTTTAAAATAGTTTTTAGAGAAACAAATTGTGGTTAGTCCGTTGGTTGTGTATTGAGATGGGTTAAACTATTTTAACAAAAAAAGTTACATGACGCAACACAAAAGTATATTTACTAATACGACTATAGCTATTTTTAGGATACAACCAAACAAGATACAATAATCAAAACAGTAAAATAAAAGAGGACAAATAGGTAGAGACCACCTGATAGAAGAAAAAAAACATTAATGGGATTGTAAAGGATAGAGATGAGATGTCAAAGCTACAATAATGGAGCAATTGTTTTCTCCACTTGGCTAATATAATACTTCCTCCGTTTCATATTAAGTGTCATTTTAGATAAAAAATTTCGTTACAAATTAAGTGTCGTTTTTGGTTTTTAATGTAAAATTTATTAATTTTATTCTGTAATTTATTTTTCTATTGGTTGAAATAATGTTAAGTGTATAGGTAATTGTGTTTTATATGAAAATATGCAAAATTTATTATTTTCTTAATCTGAGTATCAAAGTCTAAAAACGATGAAATATAAGGAATATCTAACTCGAAAATTCCAGTCAATTTTTTTAAATTCCATGAAATTCCAGTCAATTTTTTAAATTCCATATTAATAACGAAAGAAATTTTCTTATTTGTACTTAAACAATAATGTTGTAATGTACAGCTAAATAAAATCTTCAATTATGTCCAACCGATTTTATATTGTAACCTAAAAAAATATTTAATAAACGGAAAAAAAATTTAGATTTTATATTTTGTGACATTATTGTTAGATAATTTTAGATTTTGTGACATTATTGTTAGATAATTTTATATTTAATAGACAGAAAAAAATTTTAACCAGTGTTTAATGAGTGCATAGTAAGTGTTTAAGATAAGTCCAGTAATGACAGAAACATACTATTTAAAAAAAAACACTTCACAAAATAAGGAAAATAGACTTATTATAGCCAAATTTAGGAAAATTTCAACAGATATTAAAATGTACTTATAACCATAGTAAAGAGGGGGTTTAATATCCTTGCAACATATGTTTGATAATATCTTTTTATATGTCTAAGAATATCGCAAGAAAATGTAAAATAGATTCTTTTCATTTTCTTTATAAAAAAAACAAAAGATTTTCCACATAGTGGATTAATATAATAAGATTATTATTTTGAATATAACTGAAAAATAGAAGAAAAGGCAAATGAGGTTTTGGTGGTCGACTTTGCTAAGATAAAGAGAGAGAGAGAGAGACTGTCTCTTTTCTCCTTCCTTTCTCTGCAAGAAATTTCCTCACTTTCTCTCTCTAGAACCCATTTTCATTCTCACAAGGAAAAGAAATTTCCAAGCTTTACTCGAAAAAAGATTTCCTTTATGCTTTCCTGAAATCAAGTTTTACAAAAAAATGGCAATCGAAGATCAAGAGAACACAATCCGAGAAATCAAGCCCAAAAACAGAAGAATCATGGTATTTCAAAACATACCAACTATCTAGAATGCTCTGTTTTTTCATATAAGTGCTCTGTTTTTTTCCATCTAGGTGCTCTGTTTTCAAACAATACCTTTTATCTAGTATGCTCTGTTTTTTTCACCTGAGTGCTCTGTTTCGTCTACCTAACAAAGGGATATGATTTTATCTTGAAGAATCAGAACAATGCTCTTTTCAAAGATTTTTTCATCTTCTTTTACAGTCTTGATTCTCTGAGTAATTTTACTTTATTTGGTGTCACCAAATGGTACAATATGCTTTTCATTATATACCAATTTTATACTTTTTAAACCCTCATAAATCCAGTAAAATAATTAGCTGGAATCTAGAACATTTATGGGTTTAAATACGATTCCTTTATATATAACTTTTCTAAAATTGAAATATAAACAAGAGAATCAAATTTCAAACTTGTCCCACAAGAAGCAGTTTATGAAGTTTAATGGTGGCTTAAGAGATATGTCTCTTGAGGTATATATAATCAATCATATACCAAATGGTTATGTTTTGAAACTGATCATCAAAACTCTGTATTGTTTTTTTGGGTTTAGGCAGCTGGTGGACCGGAGGAGGAAGATAACCGATGGCCGCCATGGCTGAAACCTCTGCTTAAAGAGCACTTCTTTGCTCACTGCAAGTTTCATGTGGACTCTCACAAGAGTGAATGCAATATGTATTGCTTAGACTGCACCAACGGCCCCATCTGCTCTCTTTGTCTTGTCCATCACAAGGATCACCGCACCATTCAGGTGCGTTCTTGCAATAGTTAAAAGTAGATTCATCAAAAGAGTTGACATGTGTTTTGAATTGGTTTTGGTAGATAAGGAGATCTTCTTATCATGATGTTATAAGGGTGAATGAGATACAAAAGTATCTTGACATATCTGGTGTCCAAACTTATGTGATCAATAGTGCTAAAGTGGTCTTTTTGAACGAGAGGCCTCAGCCTAGGCCAGGGAAAGGTGTAACCAATACATGCAAAGTTTGCTATCGTAGCCTTGTTGATGATAGCTTCAGCTTCTGTTCTCTTGGCTGCAAGGTACATTTTTTCAACGTTTACTTTTCATTTGTATTTGAGTCAAAAGAAAGAATCTTTGGTATTGGGTCTACACTTGTTTTCCTTCTTTACACGTTCATTTATATGAGTAACATCCTCAAGTTTTAAGGGTTTCTTATCACCTAACATTTCCTTGCTTTTTGGGTAGTATTTAATTCCCTTTTAACCGCCCAAGAAAAAGATGATTTTTTTTGAAATGGGTTATCTTACAACGGTTCTCTGATAAATTTTATTTTTTTATATTTTTGGGGAATGTAATCAAGATTGCTGGATCATCTAGAAGAATGGATTCAGGTAGCAGCACTGGAATTGGAAGGAGCATATCAAATGTCCAGAGTTTCAGACCATCAACACCTCCACTTACTTCATCTAGTCATTGCAGAATCGCAAAGCGAAGAAAGGGAATCCCTCACAGATCTCCAATGAGATAAAAACCGATTAAAAAGAAGAAGCAAAAGAGTTAAAGCTAGCACATAAGCTTTTGCCATTTGCTAGTTTCTTGATCTATAATTTAGCTAATACAGAAGCTTTTTAATATACCCAAGAAATGGTCTTTTGCTTGTGTTGGCAAAAAAGGCCTTAAGTTAGGTTTTGTCCTACTAATAGTAAGTCTGTGAATATGTAATGTGCTTTGTATATTTATTTATGGATGTGATAACAAAGTCTAGAAATGGAAAATAGAGCCTTAAAGGGGTAAAAGTGGGAATAAAACAAAGTTAGATTGGTTTTCATTTGTGTATGCATGGTGTAAATTTGGTTTGGGTAGGTGCATACATGGATGTGGAATAACAAGTAAATATTGGGATTGCTAACATTCATATCCGTTCATTTCTATAGTATGAAAAGTATTTTTTCTGTTTTGAAAAATGCAGTTTTGTAATTTCGATAAAGTCTTATATCCATATATGATATATCTATTTTTTCCGGGTAAAATTATAATAAAAAGCATGAAATAATACAGATTACCAGAATTATTTGATTTCTAAATGCATAATAACAATAATCTGTCGTTTATGTTAAAACAGGATATTCTTCGAAACAGAAGAGCATTTTTCCGATTGTATGAAAATATAAGGATGAGTTAGGTGAAACGATTCATCTCAAGAATTTGGACTTAGAAAGGTACATTTCGGCTCAAGCACATTATACCGTATGGTTCTTATTTAAATCTTTTTTTTTTTGTTGAGAAAAGTCCTTATTTAAATCTATGGAGCCACTTTCTTTTGTTTGCGACTTTAAAAAGTCGTAACTTAAATCGTTTTATATTTTAAAGTCTATTCGATAAGTACATAAATTCTCATGGGGCATTGGAAAGCAATTGGTGGGGAAGGTGTAATTTGCTTTTTCTTTTAACATTTTCGAGAAGGAACCATTTGGAAATTAGAGTAAGCTAAGAGACCGAGGACAATAATAATATATACTCCTCTGTTTCATTATAGAAATTGTTTGATTTTTTTTTTTCACAATACAAAAAGTAAAGTGATTGTGTTATAGAATAAAGGAGAAGGTTGTAACTCTCATTGTCTTATTCATCACGTGCACATACATATATATACATACAAGAGAATAAGCATATTCCTTAGGAGATAAGGATTACAACAATAAAGGGGATGATTATCCTAATCCTATAATGATTAGGATAACTACAACATATGGATAAATACAAGGGAGGATAGTGACTGATNTCCGGTCAAAGTTCATTTCATGCTTTGGATGTTGCCTCATTAAAACCTCTCCTGGTAAAACCCAAAACCCAATGTGGTAAAAAGGGAAAACCAAGGACAGGACAAAAGAGTACAACACATGAAACTCCCCCTGATGAATACACCACTGACGTGTGATCATCTTGGAACTTCTAGTGTCTCTTAATGCCTTCTGGAACTCTATTAAGACATGGTCATGTCGTGCCTCTCATGCAATTGACCATTCTATGTCCTGGTTGGACTGATTTCCTTGTTGGACTGATCTCCTGGTCGGATGGTACTTGACCAGTACTTGGATGGACTTATGATCTGCATACAACCATTGTTTGCATGCCCATCTAATGTCCCATTATGTCCCACGGATCCACTGATCATATGGCA